ACACTGACAACAACCTGAAACATTTGGTACAAAATAAACACTGACAACAACATAAAACATTTGGTACAACATATACACAGACAACAACCCGAAACATTTGATACAACATATACACAGACAACAACCAGAAACATTTAGTACAAAATATACACTGTCAACAACCCGAAACATTTGGTACAAAATATACACTGTCAACAACCCGAAACATTTAGTATAAAATATTCACTGTCAACAACCCGAAACATTTGGTACAAAATATACACTGTCAACAACCCGAAACATTTGGTACAAAATATACACTGTCAACAACCCGAAACATTTGGTACAAAATATACACTGACAACAACCCGAAACATTTGAAATAGATTCTTGTATTAATTCTACTCTATATTTGAGTGTCTGATATTATTTAACAATTATGAAAGTCTTTGTTTAATACTCTCTCTTTTGGAAAGCCACCTGGTGTACGTGATTAAAAATTAGAGGAGATTTGTAATATAGTTAGTTTTTCAACAACGTGGCAGTATTAATAAAAGCTCTTTCTCAGTGACAGTGCTTGCAAGTTGACTAGACAGTTTCCACGGATTTAAATATAATAGTTGAAAACAATTTCTGTTGAAAAACAACTTGCTCCGAAGTGCATCAAAAAGTTGTATTCCTGTTCCCGTTTTATACTCATAAGAAATTACATTTACTAAGTTGAGAACCTTTCATACAACTGCTGATCTTATTGTTAAAAATGACCTTTACTTTTTAGTTAATAATATTAACTGTTATTTCTGCTAACATATTACCATTGTGGCTTGTACTACTAGCCCTGATGAAGCTGTAATGATGGTGAAACGAAGTTTTTTATTATTATCTGGAGAGTGAAGACAGTTTTTCCTAACTGTATTGCCAAGGTTTCTAAATCCCCCCCAGTATGCACTGTAAGTTCTGAAAAACAGCCAACCCTGACAGAATTTTCAACATTACTGTGATGAGTCAAGATAAAAAGCTAGTTCGAACCCACAAGACCTGTGGTGCTTCATTCTTAAACCTGTTATACAATACTCAAGCTTGGAATGGAAACCGAATAAAGAACAAGTATTTAGTTACGCCTCACAACTATGACTTAAACTTGTATATCCTAGATTTTTTTTATAATATTTAGTACAGTCACACATCTACGACAAGTTTCATCTTCACATCCTACAAATACAGCAAATAAAAGTGATAAAACACAGAATCACCGGTAGAAGTCCTGAAGGATGACTAACTAATATTAACAATAAACATGCAGGAAATTTATTCTATAATTCTCGAACATTAAAACTTACCTATAGTAGGAATGGTAGTGACAATTTCACCTAATTTTAATTTGTACAAAATTGTAGTTTTCCCTGCTGCGTCAAGGCCAACCATCAAAATACGCATTTCCTTCTTCCCAAAAAGGCCCTTAAAAATAGTAGCAATAAGATTCCCCATTATGTGGGCCTGGACACTACGATAGACCTATATACCTGGAATATATAACAAAAACATAGGATGATAATATGAAGGTTAAGTATAGTATTAATTGATAATGAAATATAACCAACTCAAAATCTAGCATGTTGAATTAAGAGCACAAGTTCAAATCTACTCGTTAAAAGTAAATACTGAATAACACAAGAAAAAAAACCAATCTAAAAAGATAAAAAAAGTCTACGAGATTGGGTAACCGATGAAGTAAAATACATTCTGCAGTTTATTTGATAAAAAGACATATTTCTTTTAGAAACGACGTTAAAAAAATCAACTTATCGAGAGAGAGTTGATGTATAAAAATATCCCTAAAGAACTGAAAACAACTATTCTATAAAGTTCTCCCGAAAGTTAAGTAAAGACTCGATTGTCCTGCCATGACATTCAACAAATATAAGCATAAGGCCAAGGATTTGTGCGGTAACCTCTCGAGAATTGTGAAAAATGCTCATATCTTAAGACTGCATGAGCTTGAAGATACTGCTAAAGACTGAAATGACAAAAACAATAACTTAGATAATTAATACTGTCTATAAAGGTAATTTTGTGTAAGGGTTTATACTTTATGACCAAAAATTCTACTAACTTGTATTAACAATTCAACATTGCATAGAATAAGAATATACACCTTAACTTGAGACTGTCAGTCCCATGTATAGAAGTTATTAACACATCTGACAATGATTCAGAGTTAGTAACATTCCCTTCTACAGGTTGGAACTTTGTTTCTTATTAATAACCTAAACGGTGCAATTTCCTATAGATATTCAGTAAA